TTTTCTTTGGATATGAGATTCTGAAACGAATAATAATTATAATTGTTCACTTTGACCCAACTGTGAAAAAATTTAACAATTGTAAAAAAATTTTAAACTGTTATAATTGTATTTATTGCCAGTTTACAGGCATTTTCAGGAAAAGATTAGACACAAATACGGCCAACAGGGAAAAAACTCCTGATGATTAAATAAAGAGGTTGGTGTTTTGTGTAGTTTGGAGGGTTCAGAAGAAGGAAAAAACTGCTACCCATGAAATGACGACAGTCGAGAGAGGGCTGGGTAGCACTGTATCGGATATTTCCAGTCGCCATTTCTTTCCATGAAAATGGGACTGAACGAAAAAGAAGCATTGAAGAACAGTTGTCCCTGTTGAGACCGGCCATCGAAATCAGCGACCACGTACTCCATCACTACGGTATATTTGATCGGTGGATTCAGCACCCGTATGTGCCCACTTCGGACTAACCATCAACACGGACAAAACAGTGATAATGGGCCGCCGGGACTTAGCCTAGGCGGAGCATTTAGCAACGCCGGGATGCACAGGCAAACGCTGTTCCCAATGCCAGGGTCGGTGGTCCAATGGTCGACCAGCTATCACGCCAACATCCAACACCCATGATGGAATTACAGTGACTAACGACCTGAGTATCGGCCATAGAACGATAATCGCACAAAGTGCAAGAGCTTTTAATTTTCACAGGTATGCGGTAGCAGTGCGGCTGAATCCTATAAAAACTGCAGCCCCTTGTGCATGAACCACCCGTATCTGCTGTTGTCTCTGATGATGGGTTCGAGCAGGGATACGAAACGTCGGGCTAATACAGCTCTTGTCCCGCGATCGCGTCTCATTCTTCAAGACTACTTCCTTGGATTCGTCCCTTCGCTTCTATTGGCAATGTATTTGGGCGCGATGTGCTCCGATCGGCCCGGCAATGGGAAACCTTCGCCCTTCGGGAGGCCTCTACGTATTCGCAGATCCGGTTTCTGCACAGGTGTCTCGACAATAATGTGTTACCGAAATGTGTTTCATACAAGCTTCGGTTAACACGGATTTGGTGAGACGAGCAGTATTTCAGCACGGCAGAAGGATGATCCGAGTGCTCCTCCAAGATTGCCACGCGAGACTTCGCAAGTACCGTCAAAGGATTGACGAAGAAAAGACCAGATGCCGTGAGTTCATGGGCGAGATCGATACAAATCTGCTCCTGCAGTGGGTGACTGAACAAGCCCGCGAACAGAGAGTGATACGCGACGCAACACTGGAGGACAAATTTCGAAAGCTGCCCAATCCAACGTCGCCCAGAAACGACAAACGGGTGCACAACCTGTCATCAAAGGAGCTGACGAAGGATCAGACGCAGGTTTTACGGCACGAAGCTTCATTTAACACGGCTGACGCCAAACCTGTTAACATGATTTCAGCAGTGGAATCAATCTTTTGTCAGACGGAGGCAACGGAGGAGACTAAGAGCCTCATCCGGCACCAAGTGTCGTCTCTCCTGATGGCCCACAGGCCGCGGGGAATGCTTTTTAAGGTCGAACGTGATACGCTTAAAGAACTAAAGGTCGCCAAAGACCTGATCATCGTGCCAGCGGACAAAGGGCGCGCCACGGTTGTACTAGACAGGACAGACTACCTTCAAAAAGCCAAAGGTTTACTGGCTGACCGGCAGTTCTATGTCCCATGTGCAACGAACCCTTTAAAAGCGCTGACGCGCGAAATTAATGCTACGTTGTTGGTCTTGGAGAACTCAGGCGCAATAACACCGACCGACAGGCTCATGGCGAGACCCCGAGATACGGCTTTGGCCCGATTCTATGGCCTCCCTAAGGTGCACAAAGACGGCGCTCCTCTCCGACGCATTGTGTCGCTCAAAGGGACTCCAACGTACGGACTGGCTAAGTGGCTGTTCCGGTGTCTCAAGTTCCTGGCCGTTGAGTCAGACACCCGGTGTCTTCGTCAGCACAATTCCTGGAGAGGCTCAAAGGGGTAAGCCTCCATCCAAATGAGGTCATGGTATCTTTTGATCTGTTGTTGTGTCTGATGACCGGGAATCCGAAACGCCAAGTAAATAAAGCTCTTTTTCCGACGATCGTGTCTTCTTCTCCACGATGGCTTTCTAGGAGTCCCCTCTTCACTTCTATTGGCAAATGATACCATAGTCCCCGAAACTCCTTTTCTATATGCTGCAGCACAGACCTAATTTGAAGGGCTGCGGATCCTCACAGCCTTCTTGACATAATATATTGCTAAGTCAGCTATCTCCTTGCGATATAGCCTAGTGACT